ACTGAAGCTCATAAAAATATGTACTTGCTATTTTCCAAGAAAATGATATGTAAATAATTAGTTTATATTCATTAAAAAAATAAAATTAAAATTAAAATACCCCCCAAAAGAAAAATCCCATGTTGGCTCTTATAATCATGGAGTGAGAGTTAATATAGTTAAAGTTCCATGAAGAACACTTCCCACAGAGAGAGCAAAGCTAAATTTTGTATTTGGCAGAATTGCCAACATTTGTTTTATTATTGAAGACTTGAAATATGCAGGAATGGTGAAATTTTATGATATGTCCATTAATAATATATTAATTAAATATCTATAAATTCTAGATAAAATTAATTTATTAGATATTGCTCTCAAGAATGAGTGATGCAATTATGAAATATCTTTTCTAAGTTTATGGGGATGATAACATGTTTTTTCCCCTTTGGACCTCTATAACTATGGTTAATTATTTAGATAAATTTTCTAACATTAATTTATTTTTGTATTCATAATGTAAATTCTACTTGGTCTTAGGGTACTATTATAAGAAAACTCTGTTATTTTTGCTTGTCAATGTTTATAACTTTATTTTGATATTCCCAAAATTAAAAAAAAAAAAAAAAAACAAGATTAGGTTGTAGTTTTTCTTTCTTTCTTTCTTTTTTTTTTTTTTTAAACTCACTCTGGGCAGGTTCTGATACCAATGGAACATTTCAGAAAAAAATTTAGTTTTTCTTTTGTTACATGGTTAATGTTAGTCATCACTTCAGTGCTGTGACCTATATACCTGACTCGAACAACTGAGAGAAGGAAAAGTTTTTTTCAGACTCACAGTTTCAGAGCTTCAGTTCATCACTGGTTGATTCTATTGAATTGGGCCAGAGGTGAGGAAGCACATCATGGTGAAAAAGGTGTGGTGAAGGAAAGCTTCTTAAGTCATGGCAGCCAGGAAGGAGAGAGAGAGAGAGAGAGAGAGAGAGAGAGAGAGAGAGAGAGAGAGAGAGGAATTTAATCCCCCCAAGGGCACTTCCTTAGTGACATACTTCCTCCAATCATGATATACCTGCCTAAAGTTATCATCACCCAGTAATCCATTCAAATTGTTAATGCATCAAATGGATTAATGAAGTGATGTGATTACAGGTCTCATCATTGCCTAAAAGCCTCACATCTGCACCTACCTGAATTGGGGACCATGCTTCCAAAACATGAGCTTTTAGGGGGGCATTTCCAGATTCAAACCATAACACTTGAACAGCTTAAATAATGTTAGAATCATCTGTTCTTTTAAAGTGCTGGTAATTTTCCCCCCAGAGCTTGGAGTTTTCATTTTTTTGGTTGTAATTCCTTAACAAAATTCTCATATTCTTTTAAGAAAATCAGGATGTTTATGTTTAATATTTCTCCTAAAGTTTGATTAAAGCTATGACACATTGTCCCATTTATTCCACAGAAGTTTAAAATTTTATTTTCAAAGAATTAGCTTGCATACTTGCACTTTGTCTCTGCCCACTATTTTTCTTGATTACACTATTTGCTAACTAGTATTAATTTTTTCATCTCAAAAGAGTATGCTAACTCACACATTTCAGCATTTAATTTTACCTCCATTCATTCTTCTTATTATTATTAGAGTTTTATAGTTATACATACAGTAGTTGGCTTCATCCTGACACACTTCACTCATTTGTGCACAGAATTTGATTTCAGTTCATGATACTCCTCTTATCCTTCCTATTCTCCCTCCCCTGCCCTGTTCTTCTTCTACTCTAAGAGATGTCCTTTCATTCATTCATTTATATTTATTTGATTTCTTCTTTTTACTTATACATAAAAGTGAATTCCCTGTGATATATTTATATTTGTGCATAACATGATTTTTAAAGAATTCATTCTGCATTGCCTTTTCCATCCCTCCCCTCTGTCTCTGGATCTCCTTCTTCTAGATTACTGATCTCTAGTCATTCTTTCTGCTTTCTTATGGTATATTTTGTTTTTCTTTGTTTGATTTTCTGAGTTGGGTATTTTTTGGTATTTGCAATTAAATATGAGTTGTCCTTCGAGTGGTTTTAGATATAATCTGTGGCCTAAGACTGTTAGACTTAGAAAGTCCCACTTTTAAAATTGTTCCTTGGTTGGGATCTGGAAACTTAGATTTCTGGAGAGCTTCTTCCTTTCCCTGAAGAGAGTGGCTCATTGTTCTTAAAACCCTGTGTATAAACAATGTGGATTTTGCTCAACACCTGGGTTTCTTCTTGGGAACCTGGAGTTTTAGTACATGCAAGATACCACATACACATATGCACACACATTATTGTATAAACAGCAAACTTATTCTAAGTACCTCTTTCATTCTATCATACTCTTATAATTTTTGTCAATTGTATTATTATTACATTCTCTTGGCCCTTAAAATATAATTAATTTGTTTTAGTGTTGGTTTTATAATCAGATATTTTCAAGTGTTAATGCTAGTTCTTCCACTATAAATTGTTAATCATCTCTTGTTGAGATATAGCTCAGAATAATTTCCTTCAAAAAAGTTTTGAGTTCTTGCATTTCTTAAAAGATTGTATGTGTGTGTGTGTGTGTGTCTGTGTGTGTGTGTGTGTGTGTGTGAGAGAGAGAGAGAGAGAGAGAGAACTTTGTGATGACAGTTTGGAGAAACAAAATTCTTGGGTTATGCTTTATTTTCTTGAACTTGTAAAAAAAAATCTTAAAGTAGAATAATAATAAGCCATGCTTTTTACAATATATGTTTCTATAAAAAAAAAATCTGAGTTTAGCCATATTTTTAATCCTTTATAAGATGACTCAACTTTTTATTCTGGCTTACCAATCAAAAATTGTTTAATTCATATGTCTAAATTTGGCTACTCAGGATCTGTTAAAACTGGTAATGTGTGTGGTATTTTAAAACATATTCTGTTCAAGTTTTTATTACTTTAGGAATTATCTATTAAAGTATACATTTACATATGTATAATTTTCAATCATTTTTATTTTCTGCTTTTGCAATTCCATCTATCCATATCTTGTACCACTTTGGCCTATTTTTGACATCCAATGTTTTTACCTGCATCTTTTGAACTTTTTTTTTCTTAATTTTGCTTCATTTCATTTGCTTGTTCTATTTAAAGCCTGTGCATGTTATTTGCTGTGTTTCCCATTGTATTTATGGACTCATTGAACAATAATTTTTTGTTTCTGAGATGTTTGTTTCTTTCCTTCCTGAGTTTTATTAGTTTAGGATGACTAATGGCTTTCTGATATTTCTTCATAGAGAGTATTGCTTTATTATTTAAAAAAAGATCCACAGTAAATTTTGGTCATGATTTTCATCTACTCTGTGCTGGTATTTTTCTTGTATTTGACCGTTGTTAATTTTATAACTTTTATATTAATTTTCCTTCTTTTAATATTTATTTTTACTTATATGTTATGCCAGTGCAGTAATTGAATGGGTTGGTTGCACGCTGTTGGAATAGCTATTTGCATGTTTTCTGTGTCGTTTTCATCATCTAGAGGCTCCCTTTTCCTCTGTTTCTTCAGGCACAGGCTGAGTCCTACTAATAGAATTGATTTAAATGATGTTTTGTATATCCTCACCTTCTCCATTACGCTTAACCAAACCAGGATTAGTAGAGTTTTGCTCATGAGCGCTACTTACATATTTCTTGCAGCTGGTGTTGCAAATAAGGATTACAGGTTTTGCATTTCATCATGCATTCCTCACACTCAGGATTCATATTTTGGCTGTTGCTTTCTGAGATTGCAGGCTTCTTATCAATCTCTGTGCTGCTTCTTTTCCTTTTTTTGTATTTGCTTTTTCACAAATTTTGTTCAATTGTAACTGCTTTTGGCAGCTCCCACATTTTATCTATTTATTTTATTTATTCACAGTGCTCGGGATTGAACACCAGGACTTGTGCATGCTAGGCAAGCACTCTAACACTGAGTCAAATCCCCAGCCCTATAGTACATTTACTTTAGAATCAATATATTATACATGCTTTCTGGTTTCATCCATAATTTTCTTTTCCTCTCTGACTTTCCCTGCTTTCTAGGATAAGAGGAAAAATAGTGATTTTTACTGTTACTGTAAATTGTACATATATTTACTTAGCCTAAGAAACAAGGCAGAGGCAAGGGTTATTTTAGAACGTGGAAAAACAGTGATTTAAAATCCATTTTAGGGAGTCACGTGTCAGCCAAAGATGGCTGCCTCTGGGTGAGCGGGAGTAAAAGTTGTAGCTTAAGTCCAGGCCTGTTAAAGGAAGAACTGGAGAGGCATGGGCTGTTGGGAGGAGAGCAACAGGGTCAAGATTGAAAACTATAAATCACATGATAGTATTAAGGAAAATTTAATTTTTGGTATCATAAACAGAAAAATTGAACAACTACCAGAAGCAAAAAGGAATCTACTTGAACATGAATCCACATATATTGGACTTAAGGCTCCTGTCTGTGTCTAATAGCAAGCAGTGTGTTTCCACACGTTGTGCTTGTAACACAGGCCCCAATAGCTGCTGGCTTACCGATGGCAGTGCTCCCATTTTTGACAGCAAATGCATCTTTCAAAGGTTTTGTAAGTTTACCTTTGAGTACCAGTGATTTGAATTGGGAAACCTGTACCATGACATGGGTTGGACTTGTTGGCTTTGTTTTAGGAGGTCTGTACCCTGTTTTCTTGGCTATTCTTGTAAATAGTGGCCTAGAAGCCAGGTATCAGTCAGCCCTGTTACCAGAGAAAGGAAATACCTTAACTTACTGGATTAAAATTTCTTAAGCTTATCTTCAGAAAGATGTTAATTCCCATTTTTCTTCAGATTGTTTGTAGCATACCTTGGGTCTAGACAATAGAAAGTAATTGTAAAGGCTCTTCTGTTATCTGAACCTGGCTTCGAAATTCACTGATTTTAAGCAAATGTGTATACAAAAATACAATTGTAAAGATTAAAAAAAAATTTAGAAAGCACATGTGAATGCAATTTTATTTTAGCAATGAGAAATTTTCATTAACATGTCACTAAAAAGAAATATGAGAGGAAGTAAATCTAAAAGAAAATTTTAAAAGGCAGACATTGAATTGTAATGCTATTGGTAAAAAGCAGTCAGAGATTTCTGGTTAGGATAGTAGAATTTCTTAGGGTGGTTTTGCTTTGTATCCGAGAGTATCCTAACTATGTAGAAAAAGCCCTCAAGTCTTAGTCTCTTTTAATTTAAGAGACAGGAAACAGATTTATCTGTGCTGTGGAGAAGAAAAAGGAAAGGTTAGAAAGTGATGTTTTGGAACTAACAAGCCTAAAATACATGTAATTGTTCAATCTGAACTGAGTAATGAGAATACCTGCTTTGAATTTTCTTACCTATATATTTTGTAGACAGTGTGCTATCATATTAGTATGTAATTAAGGAAACAAACACATATTGTTTTATTGGGACATATTACAACATGTCATTGAACCAAATGAACAAATTGGAAATGATGGAAATAAATACACAGTGACAAAGTTTCCAAAATTTTAATTATTAATTTAACTTTTAAACTAATGCTAAATATTGCTATTACTAATAAATGAACTAAAATAATGTCTGAAAATATGTAATGATATAATGTCTCATCTGCTCCACTGTTCATTGCAAATGACTGTGTTCTTCATATTTATACACCAATAACAACAGAATTCTGCCAGACTGATTCTATTTTATGATAACTTATATTTTGTATAGTTGCTGCCCTTATCACTCACTCCATTTCAAACCTTTCAGTGGATCCACTGAAACCTTTTCTGTTTGAACTCAAGGGGACTTGAACTATTTTGTGCAAGACTATTTTGGCAGTCCAGTGCCTAGAAAGCTCTCCTTAGAATAATGTTTTCGATCACATGAAATAAATATCTAAGGACTTTCTAAGGACTCCAGACAGATTAAAACACACATTAATGTGATGCAGCAGTCTGTGTGCTTCTTAATTGACATCATAATAATATCTGTGAGAAAGAGCACTGATGACAGTAAATACCCGGTAACTGTGCTAACAGTTATCTGTGGTTTCCAGAAGCAGGAAAATCACAGGTTTTGCAAATTTGAATGATTGTTACCTACATTCAAAATGGAAGGATTGCTAGATCTGTTAAAGATAGATTGCAAACAATGGGTAATTGGGTGCCCATGCACTTTTGTTGATAGCTGAATTCTCTCCATGAATCTCTTTGTTTTGATACCCTACAAAGACATCCTGCCTCTCTGAAGGTGCTACCTTCCCTAATTCCCTTTCATGCAGCAACTCTTTACTGTCTTGCCCCCATACCACTAAGTCTAAAGCTGGGGACATTGTGTGCCTCCTTCTGGCTTCCAGATCACTCTTCCTACACTTCCTCATAGGGCACACAGGACTTTTCCATCATAAGTTTACACAAATATTACCTCTTTGTTGCAATCACTCACCAGCCCTCCTTCCTTGATTTTGGCCATCTATGATTAAATATATTTTATTTCACCTTCATTATTTTTGCCCAAACTCTTGGAACCTCTATTGATTGGATGAAGTCTTTATTCTCTTTCTCCTACAGTGTTAGTGAATGCACTATTTCACAAGTTTTTACATATGAGAAACATTCCCTCACTGCCTGAATAACTTTGATAGCTGAGACAGCATGTCTTAAGGAAAATGGTAGTGACTCACTTTTTGGACTGGCAGATTATTGATTTTTCTCTATTATTTTTTGTTAGGTATTATACTATTCATATATATATATATATGTATATATGTATATAGATAATATATGTATATATGTATATAGATAATATATGTATATATATATAGATAATATATGTATATATATATATATATATATATATAGATATACACCTATCTATCTATCTAAAACTCATGCTGAATAATCAGTTTTGGGTTGCAAAAGAGGACTTATTTATCTTTTGTCTTTCCATATTTTTTATTGGTGCATTTTCATTGCACATAAAACAACAGAGGATTTATCTTTTTGTACATGCTATAATTATTTTTCCATAAGCAAATGATTTTCCCCCATTATTGCTATTGATCTTATTTACTTATTTTCCATACTTTTTATTAGTGCCTTATAGTTACACATGTACGATTTGTTTTATTTTCTATCAAAGTTAAAGCTGTAATGCAACACAAACATGTTTACTGTAACTGAAATTTCAAGTGTACAATGGACCCATTTTAAATTAGGTAACCATGTGGTCCAGAACAGGTGTCCAATCATATCTGGAGCCCTTTTCCGTGCCCTCCCCAATTTCAAATTAGCTAATCACATAGACTGTACCATCAAAGTCTTTCTATAGCAGTGAGGGGCATTGCATTGTTACGGATAAAAACTGGTGGACTGCCCACCCAGGTGTGTTATTCCCTGGATTCCCTTTAGGGGCGCATTCTTCTGCAGAAGTACAGATTTTGCCTTGCTGACCCACTTCTGAGGTTGATTTCTTGTGGCACCTCAGATGGGGTTTGGTGGGGTTTGTTGTTATATATTCAGATTTGGTCTTTTTGTCTATTGACTCAGAACCATTTTCTTTATATTTAGAGTCTTAGGTTATAACTAAGATCTGAGGTGACTTTTCTGAATCCAATTTTCTATGCATGCTATGTCATTCCATTATATAAAATCAAGTAATTTATTTTAGAAAACCTTTTTTTTGAGCATCCTTTTCAGTTTCAATACTTTGTTTTGTTCTTTTCAGAGATTTAGTTATTTCTTCATCACAAATCTCCATATTTGTCTCTTTCTTTTTAGTATTATTATCCTTTTTATTTTGAGCATTTTTTCTCTTGCTCATTTCTGTCCTTTATTGCTTTTATAGTATTTTATTGATCTTGTGTGTTCTTGTGCAAGTTAAAATTCTCTTTATTTCTAAGATGATTATCTCTCTTTTTCTTGATTGCTATCTGCTTTTTGTTGTATCTGTCTGTGTATGAAGTAACTTTTATAATGTTCCTCACTTTTAACCCCTTTTAGTTCCCCAAAATACACCTGCTTTCTTCATGGTGTATTTTTACATGTATGCAGATATTTTATTTTTGCAATTGTAATTCTTGGTGTGGTAGTTCTTCTTTAAATTTTATTTTTATTCCTATACCAACTACCAGCAAAAGGATCTGGTAGTTAAAGGGCTCTGGGTGTCTTTTTTGCTTATTTCCCAAGTCTTTGGGTCCTTTTGAATTGCTTCAGTCTTGCTGATTATGAGATGGTACTAATTTTTGGACTCATATCTTACAGTTTTGTCTTCTCTCATTTTCTTGATTTATATTGTCTTGTTCCTTGAAGAAACTATGTTTCAGCACCCTGTGAAGCCTTTCTCCCCTTCTGAAAACTTGCTGCCTCCCTAAGCTTACTCACAGTATAACCTATCTTTTCCTTAGGGTGTGAGTCTCGTGGATGGCCTCTGGGGTCTTCCATTTCCAGAATTCCTCTAAAATTTCTGCTCCTGTGCATGGATCAGCTGGAATTTTCCTATCAGTATAAGCTCTGTTGCCAAATCTCCACCCATATCCACATCAATTGTTATCTATAGGCCTTCCATGTGTTATGATTTTGCTGTGAATTTCAGTTGTGATTGTTATTTAATTTCTAAGAAGCTAGTCAACATCTTTCAATATGAAACCATAATAAAGTTTTCAGAATGTATGCAGAAACCCTTTCCCCAAAGTTTTGGAAGATGTATCAGTAAAAGCTGAAATGAGGTTAGAATAAGCCTATATAACATATGGGGAATAAAGTTTAGTAAAGAATTTTGCAAAGTTTATAGTGTCTGATATTTTTGAAAAAAATCTTAAAAAAACATATCTGGATATCAGGTAAATAAAACTAAAATTTCAAGGTAGATCAACACACAAATATCTGTTGTTTTTCTACATACCAGTCATGAAAAATCTTTAAATTAAAAAAATCCTATTTATAATAACATCCAAAAGAACCAAATATTTCACTAAGGTAACAAAATACTAATGCCCTGAAAAATATAAAATATTGCTGAAAGAAATTTAAAAAGACACAAGTAAATGTTCATTAATAAGATACTTTTGTTAGAATGTCAGTACTACCCCATGTTAGCTACAGGTTCAGTGAAATACATTATTAAAATTCCCATAGGCATTTATGAGAACACATTAAATTGATTCTCAAATTCATGGAATTATAGAGATCCTAAATTCCATTCCAAATTAAATATTAAAAAGAAAAAAAGTTGGAGGACTCATACTTAATGATTTTAAGACTTACTACAAAGCTACAGTAATTAAGACTGTGGTACTGGCATAAGGACAGTCATTGAAACCAAAGGTATAGAATTGAGTCCTGAAATAAACTCTTAAATTGACTTATGGTCAATTGATTTTTGACAAGGAAACTAAAGAATTCATTAGGACACAATCTTTTTAACAAATGCTGCTGGGATAACTGGATATCTACACATGAGAATAAAATTGGATCCTACATTATACTATATACAGAACTGAACTCCATATGAGCCAATAGCATAAATAAGAGAGCCAAAGCGATAAAAATTAAAAGAGAAATATCTATTGGTAAATCTTTATGAACCTGGGATTTGACAATGAATTATTAAATATGACATGAAAAGTATAAGCACAACAAAAAGTACATAAATTGGACTCAACTCAAAATGAAAACTTTTTTGCATCAAAAGCTGGTAAAATAAATTGAACAATTTACAGAATGGGAGAAAATATTTGCAGATTTTATACCTGAAAAAGGTTTAATATTCAGAATGCATATACAACTGCTACAACTCAGTTACAAAAAAAAAAAACAAACAAACCTACAGTGGTGGCACACGCTTGTAATTGCAGTGGCTTGGGAGGCTGAGGCAGGAGGATCCTGAGTTCAAAGTCATCCTCAGCAAGAGCAAGGCATTAAGCAACTCAGTGGGATCCTGTTGTAATGCCACCCCCCTTTTCACAGAAAATCTTAATTAAGCTTCTCCAGAGACCCTCAAAAATTCTGTTTAACATAATTGTAC